GCCCTCACGCCCACCCCACAGCCCTCATGCCCACCCCCAGGCCCTCACACCCACAGACCTTGCATCCACCCAAACCCACTTCTGTAGAGCCAGTCCACCCCCACCCCGCCCCCGGCGTTCTCGAGGCTGTACGTCCTTCCTGGAGCATACTGCCGCCTTTCTCCCGTGAGGCAGCTGCGGGTCTCATGCCTCCAAATGCTCAGTTTGCACTGTCCCCATCCCTGAGACGGCTCATTCTTAAGGCCGAATTCACTGCCCAGAAGCATCACTGGTGTCACCTTACCCCTCTGAACGCAATTCTAGTGCCTTCTAAGGCCACCGCCAGGCAGGGTCTGGCCACACCGGCCCACCTGCTAGTTCACAGACAGGGGAGTGGACACATGCTCTGAGAAATGGTCACCTCGACCAGGCATCTTTCACCTGACTGTAGAAACCCCCTGCCACTGCAGTGTCCTGTCTGTGTTCCCAGGGATGCCCCACCACAGCCATCTCGCCTACCGGCCAGCACAGCACAACTCACACCCTAGGACAGAGTGCCAGCCTGTGGGCGCTTCAGGAAGGTGCCCACAGTCGCTGTCCTTCAAGAAGGTATCAGATCTGGTGATGGAGCTGGGTGGTGACAGCCTGGGCTCAAAGCACAAAGGCAGCCGGGGCCAGAGTCCCTGAGAGTCAGAATAGAGTGCTAACAAGTGGCCAGAAACAAGGAAGGCCCCCGATTTCAGGCTTGGTCAGCTGGGCGGGTGACACGTTCAGATCCAAGGGAAGTGCAGTGGGGTGGGAAGGCCCTGGCTTAGGAGGCAGGGCGGAGGCTCTGAGGGGACAGGCCTGAGGGCATGTGAGAGGGGAGCAAGATGGTCACCATGCTGACCTTACAAGAAGGGGACAAGAAGAAGGCCAGGCTCTAGAGGGGGTGATGGGAAGTGGAGACACACCACAAGGAGGGAGGGGTCCTAGGGGGGCCAAGGGACAAGAGGTCCCCTAGGTGTCACAGAAACACCAAAGAAACACCTGACACTCAAATAAATGAGATGGAGTGAGAGGGTGACCAGATTCCTGACACTCAAATAAATGAGATGGAGTGAGAGGGTGACCAGATTCCTGACCCTCAAATAAATGAGATGGAGTGAGAGGGTGACCAGATTCCTGACCACCAAGCCGAGTGCGCAAGGAGACAGGGCCGGGGCAAGCAAAGTGCCGGGCGCACACCCCACCCGTACAACACCTGCCTGGTGACCCCCCACCCCGTGCCTCCCCTTCCCGGTGCACCGCCCTCCCCTGCCGCGCACCCCCTGCCCAGTGCGCCCCCCCGCCCGACGCATCCCCTGCTCGGTGCAGTCCCCACCTGCCGCGTGCCCCTTGCTCCCCCTGCCCAGCGAGCTGCTCCTCCGCCTGGTGTCCCCCCACCCCAGCGCACCCCCCGCTGTACACCCCCTGCCCGGTGCACGCCCTCCGCCCAGTCCCAGGAGCGCCGTGTGCAGAGACCAGCTGCTCCCAGTAACAGGAGCGTCAAGCACCTGTTTATGAAGATTGAGGCTGTCGATTTCAGACAGGACCCAGCCAACACTGCCATCCCCACCACACACCAGGATCCGGAACGTGTCAAACTTCTGGAATAATCGCAAGCTGGGGAGAAAAGAGAAATGGGAAATGTTCTGCATTACAGAAGGTAGATTCCAGAGGGCTTGATCCTGGACGGCATCTGTACACCTGATCTGGCCACTCTCCACCTGTGATGTCCCCAGGGGACACTCGCTGTCCACACTGCTCCTCCAGCCAGAACTGCTCTACGGGGTGGGGGGAGTGGAGATGACAGTGACTGTGGCCCGGCCATGCCCTCTGACCAAAACCAGGGGCACCAAGGCACAAGCTGGTACACTCTGCGACTCTGGGCCTCGCAGCTACACCTAGGCAGTGCCCACCATTATCATCCCGTCCTGCCCCCTCCCAGCTCTTCCCACCAGCCAGGAGCACACCCAGGTGCACAGCCCAGAGCTGGCCCTGTGCCCACAGGAGGCCACCGTGCGCTCTCACGAATGCTGCCTCGTGGCGAGCTCTCAAAGTGAGGACTCTCCTTCGGATGAGCTCCCTGCTTCATCTAAAGAAGCCTCAGTGGAGCAAGGATGGGTAAGCTGCTCCCCGGGTCGGTGGTTCGAACCCACCAGCCACTCTGCAGGGAGTGTGAAGAGAGACGCGGCAGCCTGCTGGCCTAGAGTGCAGTCCAGTGACCTCCGGGGCGCACTCTGCCCTGCAATGACCACCGAGTCAGAACCACAGCCCTCACAGCACGAAGGGCAGATCTCAAAGCACTGGCAGGAGAACACGCCCACAGGGCTGCTACCCCGGGGACACACCACAGAAGAGCAGGTAAGAGGAGGACACAACGACCACACTGTGTGCGCACAGCTGAAGTCGGCTATTCTAACGTCAGGACTCGATTAGCCGTCATGAGGGGTAACTCTGTGGGCTGAACGCTGAGGAGAGCGCCCCTCGCTGAGGAGAGCGCCCCTCGATTAGCCATCATGAGGGGTAACTCTGGGCCGGACCGCTGAGGTGAGCGCCCCTCGATTAACCTTCATGAGGGGTAACTCTGTGGGCTGACCGCTGAGGTGAGGTGCGGACTCATTAAGTAGGTCCTATTGAAAACGGTCGGTCGTCTCTCTGAATTTTCCCGTTACTATAAATCACGCCTGCACCGCCTTCCGATGTTTCCAAGCTCCACAGAAGGTGTCTTTTCCAAGCAGCCTACCCGAGGTGTGGCCCTCCGTTCATGAGGTCGAAGACCTGGGCGGGGTTCAGTAGCTGCTTGAACCTTCGAAGGAACTTCACCCCCTGGTTGTCGCCACTTTTGGAGTTGACAAAGACCAACAAGGGGCTTGTACAAGAAGGGGGGCATGTGGCCTTCCAGAAGCCTGGACGGGAGAACAGAGAAAGACAAAATGATGTTGGAGTCCTGGAAGACGCCGACTGAGAACCGGGGGCTCCTCCAGGGTGTGTGGGGGTGTACACACACCCCGTACGTCAACAGGCCAGCAAGTTTACTTCCACACCCCCACTCCCCGCACACCAGGAAGCCAGTTCCCACCCAGCTGGCCTTCACACTACAAAGACTCTACCTCAGGAGCGCCAGGCTGGTGCCAAGGTTAACAAGCTTGGCTGTCAACCCAAAGGCTAGCGGTTAAAGAACAACCAGAGATGCCTCAGACAAAAGGCCTGGTGATGTGCTTCCAAACCAACAGCTTCTGGAAATCTGTGGGGCACAGCTCCACAACGACACACGAGGTCCCCACTAACCACGGTCGGCACACTGCCTGTCCCCACCATCGCCAATCTCTTGGAAGCAATCTCCCTGGAGAACTTCTCATAGTTTACCACCTGTCACCCAGGCTGGTCAGTACTAGTCACGATGCACCGGGGCCATGTGACTGCAGGCATTTAAAGCATGTGTCCACTAGATGGGGACCTGAAAGGCCCACATTCGGGGTCATGTGACTGCAGGCATTTAAAGCATGTGTCCACTAGATGGAGACATGAAAGGCCCACGTCCAAGACTATGTGACAGCAGGCGTTTAAAGCATATGTCCACTAGATGGGAAACCTGAAAGGCCCACATCAAAGACATGGGTCTGAGAACCGGCTTCTGCCCACTCCCTCCCTGACCCAGCACTTGATCCACACAGCAGAGCGCACCCTGTGGGACGCCTCACCCCAGTGCTGGCACCTGCTCCTGCCTGACTGCACCCAGCACCCAGCAGAGCCTGTCCAAGGACTGAGCAGGAGACGCTGAAGAAACAGGCGTGAGAGAAGGGGCACGCGGACCGGGCAGGGCACCTACCGTCCGAATCAATGCTGTTGAGCGCCGTGGGGGGGATGACCGACACTTTGCACAGGCCCAGCGGGCACTTGGTCACCAGGGACTCCTTGCATGCTGTGTGCACCTGAAACAAGGATTATTCACTGCAGGGTGACTTGCCCCGGGGGCAGCGCCAGTCCTGAGGAGTGGGCCAGACCCCTCCACGTCCCCCTCACCATGGCCTTGCCCAGAAGGGTTTGTCCCCAGGAAGGGCAGTGTCCCCTCCACGTCCCCCTCACCATGGCCTTACTCCAGAGGATCCCACCTGTCCCCAGGAAGGGCAGTGTCCCCTCCACATCCCTGCATGGTGCACTCACCATAGCCTTACCCTACAGGAGCCCGCCTGTCCCCTCCATGTCACACTCACCATGGCCTTACTCTAGAGGATCCCGCCTGTCCTCCAGCAGAGCAGGGTGCCCTCCAGGACCCTGCACGGCACACTCACCATGGCCTTGCACCAGAGGCAGCGCCAGTCCTGCAGACGCAGCACGCTGCCACAGGTCTTGTCACACACTGTACACTTGGCACTGACGGGGAGGTTCCCTTCCAGCCACTGGTGGGGCATGGCGATCTGTAAACCAAGAGTGGGGTGGGGACATGGACAGACGCCCAGAGCTCCAGCACCCTCACAGGGCCCCCCCTGATGGGAGGGACAGAGAGGCCCTGAGCCTGCAGGGTGCTGCCCAGGGCACAGCCTCAGCAATGACACTGCCATGCTCACAGGGGTACTCCTCTGTGTGCCCCCCACCAACACCCACAGTCCACAGCACGGGGTATGGGCTCAGAGGGGGAGTAGGCCACGTGGGACGCCCGTCGTACCCCATCTTCGTCCTCGATGATGTCCTTCCCGATGGAGGCCAGTGTGGTCCACTTGCAGTTGTTGGTTGCACGCACAGCACAGCGCTTGTGGGCCTTAAATTTGCACACTGCGACAGAAGGGGCGTGTCAGCGTGCAGGCTCCGTCCTGGCCAGGTGTGCTGGGGGTACAGCACTACGGCACACTGCTGGCCAGCAGGGACAGGTGGCATGAGAAACATGTTATTGTCACAACTGCATGAATTGATACTCTTACTTTTGACTTGTTCAGCCATTGAAAAATGCACCACTCCCTTCACTAAGTATAACGGACTGTCATTCTAAACGACTTCTCAAGAGAGGCCACTGCTAGTGACGCGTGAATTCCTGACACTGCACTTTATGCTCTGCTCCATAAGGAACAGTCTAAGTATTCTCTTCTCACGGGGACAGCTGACCAGCAGGAACTCTCGGGTGTACTCTCCCACGTCACATGTCCCCGCTCCTGGGCTCACTCGGTGCACACTGGCCTGTCTGCATACCTTCCGCTGCGTGCAGACACAGCTGGAAGGACTCACAGCACCCGCTAGTCTTAGAGCAAGACAGAGCCGGTAGACTGGTAACTTGTGTCTTTGGGAAAAAAAAAACTATTCCTCCAAGCCCACCCCTTCACCTTTGAGAAATAAATTTACATTTTAAAACAAAACAACAAAAAACCAGTGCCAAAGCAAGAGGCAGGTGGCACCTGACCCACGGCCAGAGCTGACCAAGGCCAGCTCCAGTCTCTTGCCCTAGCCGCTGGCCTGGCCCCTCTTACCCAAGTACCGAAGCCGTGGCCTGCAGGTCAATCCACAGGGCCGCACCCATGTGCCCACGTGGGGCAGGGAGAGCACGGGCAGGCCAGCCGCCTGCGGGGGTTTAAACGCCCCTCGCTCTGCGTTCTCTGTTCCACTTTGCTCCTCCTTACTTGTAACTCCCACTCCAGAACTTTGCTTGATTTCAAACAAACACATGCAGGCATGTGTCAGAGACTTTCCATTGAACAGCAGCGTCCTAGAAGGAGTCCTTGGACGCGGGATCCCCAGCAAAGCCTCAGGACACCCTTCCCCAAGGGGCAATGCCCTTTTGTCCTCACCCTCGCAGGACAGCCCGTGGGAGGTGACCCCAGACAGCGCCTCCCGGCACACGTTGCAGTAGGTGGGCCGGGCATGGGAGCAGGCGAACCAGTTGTGCATCCCTGAGAAGTGGTCCACGCTGTACTGTGAGGGCTGTGGGCGACAGGGACGGTGTCACACACACACACACACACACACACACACACACACACACACACACACGTGTGCGTGGGATGAGAGAGGACGGGAGGGGGCTGCTCAAGGACAGGGTCACATCCCGCTGGGGCTGCTGGGAAGCGAACAAGGCACATGCTGGGACGGGAGGCTGTGCCCATGCACGGGGGGCACTGCGCCGGCAGAGCGGGGAAGACAGGTGGCAGAAGACAGGTGTGAGGGAGGCTCTCGGCTCGAACCTCAAAATGCTCCTTGTTCTGCACGGTCTTCAGTGCCGCGATCCAATCCTCCATCTCCTTCCTGTTGTCAGCACACAAGATGAGCCTCCGGCACGGAGTGATAACCTACAGAGAAGACAGCAGTGTCCAGCGTTGCCCAGCGTCATTCAGAACTGCCCAGGGTCCCCCAGCATCACCCAAATCACTTAATCACTCAAAACTACACAGTGCCACCCAGCATCACCCAAAATCACTTACAATCACCCAGCACTGCCCAGCATCACCCATCACCCAGCATCGTCCAGCACCGTCCAGCATTGTCCAGCATCGTCCAGCATCACTCTTCACCCAGCATCATCCAGTATCACCCAGCATCACCCACAATCACTCAGAATCACCCAGAACCACCCAGCATCACTCGGCATCCCCAGCATCCCCCAGTCAACCATCAGCACTACAGAAGCCACCTCCTAGACACAGCCAGTTTGTGGGTGTCGATGCCTCTGTCATTGAGATACGCAGAGCGAGCCTAAACACGGCCAGCAGGGCCACTAAAACCCAGACACGGTCTCAACCCAGACCTAGCCCTGCCGGGGAGTTGGTTCTGACTCCTAGTGGCCCTGCAGGACAGAGGGAAGAGCAGCAGTGTCCCTTCTGAGGACCTGTGAGGGTCGCCAGGAGTCTGAAGTAATCTGACAGCATGGGTTTGCTTTGGGGGGGGTTGAACCTTTTTTTTTTTTTTGTGGCCATGAGCTTGCACTTTCCAGAAGAAACAGGAAATGACTGGTAACCCAATGAAGAGAGGCTTAGCCACTCCTGTCACTGGGTGTGTAGATGAAAACGTTGAGCCCCTCTCACCTCTCAGAATGGCTAAAGCTTGAAAAGACAATAATCCAGCACTGGCAAAGGGGTGCAGAAAGCACACCCCTTAAATAGTAACAGGAGGCGACGAGAGGACCAGCCTTCTGGAGGGCAGCAGGAATGGCCAGTCCACTGGAAGGTCAGCTAGGAGTTGGTTCTGAGTTGACGGTACATAGCAACAACTGGGTTTGTAGTGACTGGCTCCAAAGTCAAATGCACGAATCAACATGTTGTGTCCCAAGCCAGCTTTTACCTGGGCACCCACCTGGCTCCCTCCCTTTCTCACAGGCAGCGCTTTTTTCTTTTTTTAAAAAAAAAATTTTCAACTAAGGTTTATCCTTCCATTTTTAATAAAATAGCCAAATACCCACCTAGGTCCACACTCCCCCTTTTTGAGAGCGCAGCCCCCCCCTCAGTGACAGGCAGAGCCCCTCCCTCTCCCCTGCAGCTGGATAAACTTGACTGCACGAGGCCCCATCATCTGGTCAACCTGCCTCACTCTGTCTGGACCATTCGCTTCAAACAGCCTTGCACACACTTTCTCCTGTCTGTAACTGCGTGCCTTTGGAGTCACTTTCTAGAAGGAAAATGATTTCCACCAAGGAGTCACTTTGCCAGCAGCTCATAACCCGTCGGAGGGGCTGCAGTATTCTCTACCCCCCGTGGGCTTGTGGAGATGTCTGCTTCCCCGTGGACTCTGCAACAAAGTGTGCTATTTAACACTTCGATTTCTTCACCCAGATTATAGTTTTAATTTTTATTAGGATGACCCAATTTACAAAGACCCTGCTTAAGCAACCCCGAAATCGTGTTTCTGGCTCAGAACATTTGTAAATGGGGTTACTGAGATTCTCTTACTTCTCTAAGACTATCTGTGAAGGGTGACCCTGGCAGTGTTTTCAACAAAGCCCAGGCTGCATGTGGGAGGAGGCAGGGCCTGGACACGGAGAGAAGACAGCGGCTGGGGGGGTGGCGGGCAGGTGCTTCGGGGGGGGGGCCATCACCCAACACCCGCACCACAGCACAGCCGACCCACCGCTCAGCAAAGCTGTCAGGTGTCGGCTTGAGATCCAGGTCTCTAGGAGTCAGAAGCGACTCTCTGAGAATGTGTGTGGATTTGAGAATGGAGCCAATGTGACGTGAAGGACTTAAATGACGAAAGCACCACTGCTCAGAGGCAGACTTCATTCATGGAAAGATGTTTCTTGTTTGTGGGCTGTAAGAGTCAATACTGTTCAGATGCCAATACTATCCAACACAATCTACTCATTCAACACAATCTTGATCAAAACGCCAGCAATTTTCCTTGTTGTGTGGTCTGATTCTAAACTTTCTACGGAAGAGCAAGATGTCCCCAATAAGCTTCACAGTTGTTGGAAGAGAACAGAGTGGAGTTCACTCTTCCTGATTTCAAAATGTTCTCAACAGCAAAAGACAGAAAGATCCCTGACAAGAAGATTGATACAGTGACTACAACACTGGACTTAGACACGACAGGGATTGTGAGGAGGCGTAGAAAGGGCCACGGTTAGAGCTGTTGTTCACTGGGTCACTGTGTTACGTCAACTCCACGGCACCTAACAACATACGACTACATCAAACGGTCCCGTAGTTGCACAAGAGCAGATGCAAATCAAAACCATAATGGGATACCAGCTCTGGTGGCCTAGTGGCAAGAAGTTGAGCTGCAATCCCGAAGGCACACGGTTCAAGGCCACCAGCTGCTCTTCAGGACAAGGATGGACAGCTTCCTCCCGTGCAATTAACTGTCTCTGAAAACCCACTGGAGGGTCGGCTATGGGTCATTTCCAACGCCATGGTAACAACAGCAAGATTGCTGAAGGATGTTCTCGACTCTGCGGGGAGAGGCCCTACCTGCCCAAAGGTCGGCCCCTCTGGCCGTTTGCTTCACCAGCGCATCTGCAGGAGAAAAATGGGCACCCTCCTCCCACACGATTTACAGTCTCGGAAAACTCGCTGGAGGGTCAGCTACGAACGGGTTCCCACTTGAAAGCAGTGAGTGAGTTTTCTGAGCGAAGACAGTTAAAACTAAAAGGATACTAAAAGCCCAAGAAGAAAATAACAACTATTGATGAGTTTGTGGGAAAATGAGAACACTTATTCGCTGCTAGTGGGAATAAAAATGGTACAGTTATTTTGGAAAAACTGTGTTAGTTTTTTAAAATACTAAAAAAAACCCATAAAAATAGAATTATTGTATGAGCTAGCAGTTCTATTCTTTAAAACATACCCTAAAGGCTTGAAAGCAGAGGATCAGTGTTTGTGAGGGAGGAAAATGTATAACAATGAATAAATAAAAAAAGAAAGAACACAAATAAATAAAAATGAAAGAACACAGACATGGAAAACACCCAGTACGTGTTCATCAGTGTTTACTGCACCATTATTCACAACAATTGAAACGCAGAAACGAGCTAACTGCCCGCAGACAGAAGAGGAGATAAACACAACGTGGCACCGGTGTCCACACAATGGACCACTGGTCGGTCACCTGCTGGGGCATCCCCACTCACAGGGACTCGAGTCACAACGACTCCAGCTCCTTGGTGACCTCGCCTGAGCCTGGGCCATTCTCACAGTCTCCGCTGCACAGAAGTCGACTGCTGCAGTCACCGGGTCAGCACAGCTTCCTGAAGTCCTCCCTCTGCTCCGCTAACCTCCACAGCTCCGAGAACGGGGTCTCTGTCTGGTCCCTCCTGACAGCATGCCCAAAGAATACAAGGTCAAGTCTACCTACCTCTGCCTCGAAGGAGCACCCTCTTCTGAGAGGCTGGTTTGCTCTTTTGGCTGTACCTGGAATAGCCAATACTCCTCGACAACACAATTCAAAGGGATCAGTTTATCCTAAGTCTTCTTATTCATGGTCCACATTCTACAAGCTTATGAAACAATTCAAAATACCATGGCTTGCGTGAGGCACACGTTAGGCCTGAAACTGACAGCACTGCTCTTCAGTACTTTAAAGAGGTCTTTGATGGCAGATTTGCCCGATGTAATACGTCTACTGATTTATTAACTGCTGTTACCACGGGTGTTGATTATGGATCCAAGAACTCACAGGGACCCTGTGCACAGCAGATCTGAACTCTGTCCTGTCCTGGGCACCCTCATCACCTCTGACGGGTGCCACCGAGTCGAGGAGGACTCACAGGGACAACAGATCTGAACTCTGTCCTGTCCTGGCACCCTCATCACCTCTGACACACTTAACCCATTGCTGCAGTCACTGTGTCGGTCCATTTTGCTGAAGGTCCTCTCTCTCCCTGATCAGCCACCTTTCCAAGCATGATGTCTTTTCCAGGAAATACTGTCTCCTAGCAACAAGCCCAAGGGATGAGAGACAGCTTCACTGATAACATCAATCTTCTCCATTCATCATGGTATTGCCTATTGGTGCTACTGGAAGGATTGTGTTTTCTTTATGTTGAGATGTAATCCATATTGAAGGCTGTAGCCTATAATTATCTTTTAATAAGTGCTTAAGGTGGCCTACGGGCAAGGAATTGAACTACAATTCCAAAGGGACACGGTCCGAAGCTACCAGCTATTCCTTGGAGAAGGGTGGGCAATCTCCTTCTGTGCGAAGGGTCAGCCATGGGTCAGTTCCCACTCTACAGTACACAACAACAGTATGACCTTTGGATGCATATCATTTGGGAGCTCTGGTGGCCAGAGGAAAGAAGCTGCGCTGAAATCCTAAAGGTACACGGTTCAAATCCATCAGCTGCTCCATGGAGAAGGATGGGCAATCTCCTCTCACGGGTCTGACGTCTCTGAAAACCTGCCGAAGGGTCAGTTATGGGTCGGTTCCCACTCTACAGTACACAACAACAACAAGTCCTCACTTTGAACAAGCAGCACAGTGTCCCTGGCATAATGTAGGCTGCTGATGGGCTTCCTCTGATCCTAACGCCGTCGTCTTTTCCTTATCGCAGGTTCTTGTTCTCTGTACAGAGACTGAATGGCTAGGGTGAAAGGAAGCAATTTTGATACACAACTTATCTGATTTTACCAGGCAATACCCTGTTCTGGTCAGACAACTGCTTCTAGGTTCCTGTACGGGTTCTGCACGAGCTCAACTAGACGCTAATCCATTAGCTGGGAAGTTTCGATACAAACATCTGTTTGGACAGAGCTTGAAAAACATTACACGGGGCAAAAGAAGTCAATCACAAAATGGCCAATAATGTACAAATTCCCTTACGTAAAAAGACAAGAAAAGGCACCTACAGAGATCAAGGTAT